AAGTTCCCATGTTGGGAATACTGCTGCACATCCTCCTGGGATGCATGGCGAAACCCGGTGCTGCACGTCGCTGCCCTCCGCAACGCGGAGCTGCAGCACTGGGGAGCATACGTCGCCAATGCGCAAGTGTTGACCCATGTCGTGGCCCCACCGAGACACTACCGACCGAACGTTCGACGGGTGGGCAAGGCTCGCGTGGCTATTGAGCGTCAGAGCCAACGAACAGTAAAACGCACAAACACTGCAACGCCCTTGATCATGACAATGGCTGTGAACGTGGTACGTTTGTCCGAGCTTTGGGTTTGAGTCTGGCGTATACAGTATATCTTGCTGGTTGCAGTCCCGTCGCGCTCACAGACTTCTGAGCCATCCAGAAAGATGGCCGATAAAATTTAACAAGGGCGAAGCATCGCCGTTGTCGTTGTCGCTGTCGCATCATTGGTTGAATTCGTTGTGTTCGTTCTTGTCACGTGGCGCATACTCGACCATACACGCAACATTGCTCCAACAATGCCTGCGCACCATGACGCCTGTGGACACGGCATCACCTATCAGCACACGTTCCTATGAGCAGCACAAGAACGCAGAGCGCAACCTCCACGCTGTACTGTTGTTCCCAATTCAAGCTCGACCTCATCCATCCATCCTCCGTACTGCCTTCCAACTCCTCCCTCCAACGCTCCCTACCCCATGATATTCCAACCCTGCATCCCTCATCCTTGCACCCGTCCTCCATCATTCATATTCCCATCACTCCTGACCCCTCGTATCTTCTCCATTCCTCATCCACCTATCCCTCGATCCTTCTACCCATCCATCCCTCTTCCCTCGTTTCTTCCTTCCCGTCCCCCCACCATCTCCCAATCCCTCCAGCCATTAACTCATCCTTCCCCTCTCCTCCCTCCATTCGTCCGTCATACTTCATCCCTCTTCAATTCATCTGTCATCCTCCCATCCTCCACCTCCCCCCATCCCTCTTCTCAACATTCCTTTTGCATCCCTACTGCTCCCTCATCTCTCCATCCCTCCTCCTTCCATCCTGCCTCCCTCAATCCCTCCACGCATTTGTCTTTCTTCATTCCTCCATTAGACTTCCCCCTCGCCATCAATTCCTCAACCGAGCCATCCGTCCTCGATCATCCCTCGCTCCTCCTTCCTCCGTCCGTCCCTCCCTCCATTCCCCATGCTTCCATGCACCCCCCTTCTTCATTCAGATGGCCCCCCTCCTCCTCGACCTTTTTCACCTCCTCTCCCTTCGTCCTGCGTTCCCTGCTCCTGCTGGACTGAATGCTATGCGGCACTTCCCTGATCAAGGCAGCTTGTCTGGGGATCGTTTCTGGACGGGTCGGTGGAGGTAGAGTAGGGGCTCGACCACAAGAAACCTTCCACAAGAAACCCAACCCTGAGATCCCAGGACGTTCGTTGATCTTTCGTGTCGGAACGTCACGCTTCCCATGGTAAAACCATCGAAACCCAAGAAACCCAGGGCACCCTGGGGGGCAAGCAAGGTGTTTCTTGGCACAAGGGCTCCCAACTTCGCGCTTCGCGCTGCGCGAAGCGCGAATAACTTCGCGCTCTCGCGCCGCCTCCCAAGGGAGAAGAGGAGGATGAAGAGGAATCGGAGCCGAACCGCGAAGCGAGAAGCGCGAATAACTTCGCGCCCTCGAGGGTGCCCTTGTGGCATGGGCCTCCACTGCACGCAGAGCGCCACAGGAGGTCAGGCTGGGGGTGCACCCCCGGCCACGGCCCGCACGCCCACGGGGCGGCGCCCTCTCACGGAGACGCCCAAGACCGCCCCACACGGACGCCCCTGGTGCTGTGGCGACGGAGCGCAGCTCCCAAGGACGAGGCCGCCAGAAGTCTGCCGGGGGGCGTCTGGAAACCTCCCGGGTCCCAACGGGCGAAGAACGGCATAACCTCTCAAATTTTTCCCGCCGTCGGGGACGCCTGTCCCAGGGCGGCTGGAAAATTTACACCCCCAGGGTGGCACGTCAGGGTGTGAGCTCGCAGCTTTCCATCCGCCCTGGGACAGGCGCCCCCAGCGACGGAAAAATTCACTTCGTACCGTTCTTCGCCCGCGAGAAGGTCACCTGCCTTCACGGTGCGCGTCGCGCGAAGCTCTTCAGCGCAGGCATCCTCGCGCCCGCGCGCCGCCACCCGCGCGCCGCCACCCAGCGCCGTTTTCACGGGCACCTTCTTCACGGGTGTGCCGTTGGGGCTACTACTGATCATTTTTCAACGCTGCCGCTTGATGCGGTAAACTAACACGCGGCACCGCATATGTTTCCATATGTTGAGTAGCCAGTTCTTTTAGTGGGTTTACTCCAGAGCTAGGGTGTCCCACCAACCAGTGTGCCGGAAGGACGATGCCAGCTCGTGCTGCCACCTGTGCTCCCGGCCTGCCGCTCGCGAACGGGCGAACGTGAGCGTTCCACATTGCGCCTCATGCCCGAGCCAGTGGCCCAAGCCCCGCCTGCCCGAGCCAGTGGCCCAAGCCCCG